ATGACATGGAGACCTAAATCTGTGTTAAATCCAACAGGTTAATCTGCACTGCCATCAAAGTGAGGTTAAAGAATTGGTGGGAAAGTTTATTTCTAGTTAGAGTCCACGGCATTACAAGTCTTGGTTTTGGCAGGCTGAAAAGACCCTCCTGCCTCTAGGAGGGAAAATTTAAAGGCTCTCATATTAAGTAGCTTATGAACATTAGTCATTAATCAAACCCATTTTAGTAGTAGAAATTCCATTAATTATTTTATCATCTGGTTCTGTTTTAATTTCTTTGTCTATAACAACCATAATGGATAAAATATACAATAGCCCTATGGATGTTCCCACTATCATAACTCCAGGATACAAATATTTAAAACAAATATTAATGCTTTAAAATTCATAGCATGAAAACTACTACAGTTGGGCACATCAAATTTCCCCTTTCCAAATACACAGTGGTATTAGGGGTATATTTCTACTATTTTCTTCTTAGAAAATCTATGGTTTTGACAAAAATAATTCCTAATATTGACCATAAGCAGACAGGAGGTGGTATATCATACTGTGGAGAGAAAGGTACAGCTCTGATGGTTTCTTCCTTCCTTTGCAAGTGTAAAGCAGGATGGGAATGTATTATTCAGCAGTGAAATTCAGAATTAGTATAATTGAGGTGCAATGCCAGTGGAATCAAGACAAATGAATCTTATTCATTGCAGTATGAAATTTGTCCTATAGCTTTAGGTCTTCATGGAAATTTAACCATTTGTCTAGTCTCCTTATTGCTCAGATACAGCAGCCAGCATTTCCATGAGATTATTTAAATGTAGAATTATTAGAAAAGTTTGCAGCTACAGAGATAGATGGGTTTTACATAAAATCCCTGCTCTTTGTAGCAACACAGTGTGATATTGAGAAAGATAATGGTCAGAAAGTACATTGCCAGGCTTCTAATGAGAAACTGTTGACAGTAGAATTACCCCAACATTCATCAAAAAGCCAATAAATGTCAAGCAAGAGGCCTTTGATGCAGTAGCTCATAATTCCTGTTCAGAAGTCTCTGCAGTCACTTCAGGGCATGCTGTCATCCTGCATTTCTGCTGATTTTACCAAAAACTTTGTTGCTGAAGAAATACAAGGAGCAGGTGTCAGCATTCCGAGTGCCACTGCTACAGTGCCACGGGCTCACCGTGAGACCTCAGGCACAGCACATTTGGCCTCAATTTCCCCATCTGCAATACAGGAATGACAACACAGGAATTACCCAGAGGCAGTTCTGTGAAGGACACGGTGCTGCCATCCAAATGCTCACAAATCATGAGCTAGGTGGTAAAAAGTCTGCTGCTGACTCCTGCCAATGAGGTAGCCATGCATTTTTAATGTTAACTACGTCCAGCTTTTTGGGCCTTTGTAGGATGTATTTTCAAGCTCTCTCCTCCACAGTACAGGAGATTACTTCAAACCAACCCTGAACTAATTCTTACCCAGGCTGCTGAATTCTGGGTTGGGTGGCCTTAAGGAAACTCCATGAAGTTTATATAAAAGCTTATATAAGCTGTCCTTGGGCTCTGTGGAGCACAGAGGGTATAAATACCTTGCCCATTACCCAAGTCTTCTGTTTAATTGTACTTTCAGTACATATTCCCCAGGTGATGTGGTGAGGCAGGTCATTGCCTGGTCCATGAATTAGGAATAATCTTGTGCCTTGTGTTATTTGTCACTGTTCTCTGGCTTTTCCTTTTCATCTCCCTTGTTCATGAGGGGAGCCTGAAGCTATAACCCAAGTAAAACTATCATATCCTCTAGATTTTGCCTTTGTTTCTTTTTTAAAATTTCCAGGTAAAAGCTCAAAGCCATTCCTTTAAGGTTTCCATTCACTCTGAGGCAGTTAATCCCATTCATGCTAGTATTTCCTTGCTTGCATATCATGACTGGTTTCCATTCCAGCTGTTCCTGTATATGTGGATAGAAAATGTGTCCCTGTTGGTCATTTGCAAGGATAAGCTGCATCCTAGAGGCTGTATGCAGATGGAGTTGCACTTAGTTTCCAGAGCCACATGCTGTTAGGATGACTTGAAACTAGGCTAATTACCTGGCAGACTTCTCTGAAGAGAGATCCTTTAATAAAAATGGAGGGGGTGACAAGGGATAGCATCCTTGCTATTTTGGGACAAACTCTTCCCTCAGGCAGCAGATAAACATAGTGATAAGGCTCCCAATCTATCATTTGATTTGCTGTTTCTTGGCTGTAGTACTTAATTAACAATTCTGGAACGGCTCTGTTTCCCAGGAATAGCCTGTAAATCCATTAAATTAAAAATAAAGGCAGATGTGGGCAAAAATAAAAAGCCCATGCAAGTCAGAAATGAAAAATTAAGTTGTTTTGTCAGTCTTCAGGGGACAGTGTAGGAATGTTATAAAACCTTCTGAAGCTTTTCTTTCTAGTGTTCGAGCAAGAGGGAAATGTTCCTGTGGATACCAACATTTTTAGAACTGATGATTGCTAATTACAAAAGCACTACTGACAGGACAAGGCAGAGTGGTTTGAAACTGAAAGAGGGTAGGTTCAGATTGGGTATTAGGAAGAAATTCTTTAATTTGAGGGTGGTGAGGCACTGGAACAGGTTTTCCAGAGAAGCTGTGGATGCCCCATCCTTGGAAGTGTTCAAGAGCAACCTGGCCTAGTGGAAGGCATCTCTGCCATGGGGTTGGAATTAGATGGTTTTTAAGGTGCTTTCCAACCCCAACCCATCCTATAATTCTCTAAGTACATAATTACTTTACTACATGAAATAGTACAAATACTGTGAAAACTGAGTTAAAACAAAAGTATATTTTCTGAATGGAGTTAATAATAATTCCAAACTCTGTAGATGGCAATCAACTGTAGAGGAATTTCTGAGTATCTGAAAGAGTGTGCTCATCTAAACTGTCACTCATGCTTTAAGACAGCCAGTGAAACCATTATATTACTGCAGTTAGCTGGAAAGGGCACTGTTCTGCAAAAATCAGATAATGTACTTATTTCTAAAAGCCTGGAACAAAAGAGCCGGTTGAGATTTGCTGAGTAGTTGCAAGATAGCCATTAAATATAAATATTTTTAAAAACAATTTACTCTTTCCTAATGCTTTTAGAGGAGCGTGTGGGAACAGGGTCTAAGTGCAGCATCCTGCTGCATTGAAAAGGGCATGATGAAGGTTATTGGACTCCAGATTTAACTCTTCCATCTCACAATTGCTCATAACAGTGTCTAACCTGTATAAACTAGGTGAGTTTATAAAAAACTTACCCATATTTCCAATAAAAGTTTGTATTTTTGAAACAGTTAGTTCCAGTGATGCACATTTTTCACATTCAATTTGAAATAGTGTAGTGGTCAATTAAAGTTTCCATTCTTAAAATTAAAACTTGTTGCAGAAATGAAAATTTTGTTCTTTTGAACCTGTAGATGCAAAGGGACTTGTTTTATGAAATGTATAATTGATATTTCCATATCTGGACTTTTAGTAGCCATAGGTAGGAATAATTTGATCTAACTTAAGACATCCAAGTCTGCACCAAGCCCTTTAGGCTGCTTCTACTGTTAACAAAGAAAAAAGGCCCATTCATACTGTGATTCACATGGTCTTGCTTAGACATTTGTTTAAGGATGAGATGGATGAGCCCTCATGATTTGGCTATGTGGAACTTCAGAAAAAATGTGTTTGCTGGGAGGTCATCCCATGTTGATCACCATGGATTGATATCAAGGCTCCTTTCATCCAGTACTGCCATGATCAACACATTTTCTGCAAATCTGAAGAATCTGCAAAATTGGTGCAATGGCTGACACCCCAACTGGCCTGGCTTCAGTCCAAACAAACCATGACCCAAGCAGAAATGCAAGTTTCTTCACCTGGGAAGAATAACCAGTACAGGATACCAGTATGGGTGAGGAATGGACTGGCAGAGCAGAGTCCTGCTGGAAATGGGCTCCCAGGGCCTGCCTGGCTGATCCAAGCCAGCAGTGCACTTTCATCACAGAGCAGACAAAACACACACTGAGCACTACTCACAGGCCAGCACATGGGAGGCCTATTTTGCTCTCCTCTGCTCAAATCTGGTGAGGCCATATTTAGGATTCAGCCCAGTTTTGGCATAACCAGTATAAAAGGGATCTGGAGAAACTGGAATTGGTCTACTGGAGAGATGTCAAACTGGTTACCAAGAGAACATGACCTACAGGGAGGGTGGAGGAAGCAGGGCTTGTCAGTCTAGCACAGAGCAGCTAAGTGTGGTCTACATGCAGCCTGTGACTGCTTCAAGAGAGTTACACAGATAATGGAGCTAAACTTCCTCAATCATGCCATATAATGGAACAAGGGGGAATGGCCAGAAAATGCTGCCTCAAGGTTCAGACTGGACATTAATAAAAAGATTCAGCTGGAGGGTTGCAACTGATTACCCAGGGGAGCAGCTGAACCCCTTTTTTTGGAAGTTGTCAAGTCTTTAAATCCATGGCTGAACTGCTCCAGTGCTGGTAAAAACCCAGCTTTGAGCACAAAGATGGACTTCTCAACTAACACACCAGCCTGAAAAGTACAGCTGGGGCAAGACACTGCCTTTCACCCCAACCCATGCTCATCCTCCCTGCAGTCAACAAAACTCCCTAGAGCTGGGAGTTGAACTGATGGGAGAAAATCAGGATTAGAGGGGAGAAACTGCTGACACATACAGTTCACAGGAAGATATAAGGAGCAATGGACAACTGTGTTACAAGCTTCTGTCTGTAACACTCAAATAATCCTAGAATCCATTATTACATGTACTACCATCATCTCTGGAATGTGTCCAAGCCCTCCAATTCTCTATTAATAACAATAAATAACAATTCTCATCCAGAACTATAGAGGGGAGGTGCTGAACAAGATGATCTGAGATTCATCTCAGCCCGTCACTCCCTATTGTAACCCGAAACATGTTAAACTGTTTTTTGCAGCACAGAGTTACTTCTAAAACCACAGAATAAATTCACTGCTGTCAAAGAAAACCCATTTTCTTTGATTTTTTTTAACATTTATTACATACTTAGAGTAAATATATTGTGTCTGGCATTTGTAAGAAGAGAAATTTAACTTTCAGTAAGAATAAAAATATAGCTCCTAAAGGCAACTGTGTGAAGAATCATAAAGCACTGCTAAGGTTTGTTTAGAGACAGGACTCATTTCTTCTCCTCCTGAGAGTGTGACCAGACAGGCTTACGCTTCTGAACAAAGGCTTCAATGCCTTCCTGCCCATCTCTCAAAGTCAAATTATCTACCATGACCTTAGTAGTTATTTTGTAAGCAGTGTCAAGGTCCTGGGTAATCTGTCGGTAAAAGGTGGCTTTCCCCAAGGCCAGAACGGATTTGCTGCTTTCACATATCTTCTGAGAGATTTTCATGGTCTCTTCTTCCAGCTTGTCTTCGGGTACCACCTTGCTGATGAGCCCATGCATTAATGCTTCGTGAGCAGAGAGAGGTTCACCTGTGAAAAGCATCTCCAGTGCCACCTGAACAAGGAAAAATATTGAATTAAGTCAACCCAACTCAGTGCTTTGTTTTGTTTGGGTAATTTAATCCTCCTCCTTCAAGTACAAGTAATTCTTTTCACAAATGATTTAAGTGTTTTGGTCTTTTAAACTGCCAAGGACCTGTTAAAAGGTCTCAGCAAAGAGAAGGACTGGGTCTAAAGCTGGTCTCTTCAAACCTGCCTGCTGATTCCAGCTGTCCTAGGCTGAGACCCCTGGGTTTCTCTTCAAAAGCCCACAATCTCTAGTGCTTGCTGTAGGAATTAAAAGAGAAGTGGATCATCTACAAAGTCAAATGACTGAACTTGGTATTTTAAGTTTTTGAAAACACCTGTCCTAGTTTTAAGTTTAGTAGGAGTGGTTTTAAATATGGACTTTTTATAGCCACATTATTTCAGTCTCCTACTGCTTCCAGCATTTGGTGCTTGAGGTTTGAGATTAAAAAATCCCCCAAATACTCAGTGACTATTCAATGCTATGTATCAATAAAGTTTTCCAAGACTCCTGGAGCAATTGACCAATGCCCGAATCATAAGAGCTGATTATTCTCATTAGCATCTTTGTAATGGTAGCTACAAACAATGGCAACTTTTTTTGTCAAAAGGTAAAAATCACCAATTCTGGGAACTGTAGGGAATGTTCTTATTGCTTTGAAAAGTGGCACAGAGAAAAGTATTTCTCACACATTTTAAAAAGGTAATTCTACAGCCCAGAAATACTAACTCAGAAACAGCTGCAACTGCACATAAGAGCAGACTTGGAAAAATCCCCCATGGACTCTATTTGAACAGGATGTCCTTGCAGATGGGAAATTTCAAGCTGAAGCTTTTATCCAGAAATGGGATATGTGCAGTTCAGTCACTACATCTCAGCAGAGCCCTGCTGGGCTTGGACCGTCTGCCTGCATGAATCCAATTGGCTTTACAGGTTGTAGTATTTTTTATGCAGCGAGAGATGTGCAGCCACAATCAGTAGGACGTAAAACAGGAAGACACTATAGGAGGGTTTTAGGTGCTATTTAAAGCATCTTGATCTACAGCCAGGCAGATCCTGCTGGCAGTGAAATGTCATTGCCTGGCAAGAATTGATGCCTTGGTGGGATTGTTATCCTAAACTTGCAGAGGTTTCCTCCTCAGGGGAGAGCATCATTGGCTAAAGCCCTGAGCTGTCTGTTGGAAAGGAAAGGGATTGCTGAGCTGGTGGGCTGCTGCGATGAGCTCGTGCTGGTTGGAGTCACATCAGTAGAAAGCTGCCTTTCCTAAACAAGAGTTCACCCTTTATTATTCTTCCCAGTCCAAAGAGTTATGGAGATGCCTTTTGAAATAAAGTATTTTGAATGTTGTGCTGCAGGAAAATAAACTTCAGGCAATGGAACTAAAAGTCCTGACATGTGAACCAACTTTTTGCTAAATTATGAAGAATATCTGGAAAGGAAGTTTACCTTTCTTGGAAGAGATCTGCCCAAGGCCACAGCTGGTGTGGAGCAGAACAGCCCAATGTTTACTCCAGGAGTAGCAAACTGAGATTTCTCACTTGCCACTGCGATGTCACAGCTTGCCACGAGCTGGCAGCCGGCTGCTGTAGCCAAGCCATTTACTTTGGCAATCACTGGCACTGGAAGTTTCTGGATTAAAGTCATAACCTGGATGCACAAAAGAGGGGTCAGTATGGAAATTCAGGATGACACAATCCTGTTTTGGAAGCCATTGAAAGTACCTTCCTCTCTATCTACCAAAAAACCCCCCAACTGTTGGATCTTGGCTCCTTTCTGATGAAAGGATGATGAAGGGCCTGTGGCTTTCACACATGGCTACTGGAGGAACTAGAACAAAACATTTCAAAGTACTCACTGTTGTCACACTGTGGAGGATTAGGGGTCAAATTCTAGCTCCAACACTATCAAAGGGGATTTTGCCATTCTCTCCAAAGGTTCCAGGATTCACTTTAACTTCCCCACCTCCCTGACCTGTGTCTTTAACAAGAACTTGGACAAGATCTGACAGTGAGTCAGATCTTACTTTCACATTGTCTACTTGTTGTTTAAGCTGATCCTGAAATTTTAACTAAATAAATGCTGGGAAAAAACATTTTCTCACAAGTGATTTGAAAGTGGTTATCCCTAGACTTCTAGAAAAGACATTGCCCAAATACTCAGCTGCAATGAGTATTCTCATTGCACTGGCTAAGCTAAGGAACACACCTTGACTGTGCCCATTGTTGGAGACATGCATATTGGTATTCTAGCCATTCTATTTACATGTAGAGAAATCCAGGGCAAACATAATTTTACCAGTATCAGGCATTAAAACAGCAGAGCAGCAAAAATCAAAGAATCAGAAGGAATCAGAAGGAATCCGAAGGAATAATCTGTACTTTGGCAAGCAGATGATCAGTGCTGTCCCTCCTTAAACCAATGCTTGCTCTTAACACCAAGCAATGGCAGAGGCACTCAAGAAGAACTGCTTACCTCTGCACATAATTCAAATACTTGGGAATGATGCTTCACATCATCTTCACTTGACAGTTCCTTTAAATCATGGCCGGAACAAAATACAGGTCCTTCAGCTGCAAAGAATTTCAGGGAAAGTCAGTCTGAAGCAATAAAGTAATCAGGAGTTGCAGCATATCAATGTCCCAGCTAAAGGGCTAAAGGGATGTCAATGACATGTCAATGTTCAGAAAGGAGTTTGGGGAGGGAGTTTTGAACAGAATTCCAAAATACTGCCTTTTGGGTTTGTGGTAACTTTAAATTGCTGCAATGTGACATTTAAGCACAGTAACACCTATTACCACTTTTCAAGGTCTTATTTCACTTCCATTACACTTAAATCAGTTAGAAAGAGTGCACTTCACCTCTGGGCCCAGTTTTGTGTAAGGATGTTCAAAACAGCTCCTCAGTACAACACAAACTTATCAGCTGGAGCAAGGCTGGAGTTCTCTGCTCTCAGACTGACAAATATACTTAGTCCCTATTTATTGTACCCAGAATTAATTATTAACTTTTGCTACGTAAGCATCAGTATTTTTTCTGTCATGGTGTTGAAGGTCACAATGGAAAAAGAAAGAAAAAAGGTTATTCTACTACAGGAGAACCAGAAGGGCTATTGGAGTGTTTTTTCCTCTACTAAACTGTCATCTAGAGAAGCCCCAAAAGCACATTCAGGGTTTGGGCAGCAAAAGAGGAGGTATCTGTGGAACTAAACTTTGGATTTGCTAAGATCAAAACACTCTATAAAGGTACACAATCTTCACAATAGTTTTCCTCTGTCATGTGACTACCTGCCACTAGAACGAATCAATGTGATGCTTTCCAATCCTTCAGAACTTCTCAGGTATTTGTATGGATGTGACATTTCCAGCTACACCTATGCACATCAAACCTTACCTATCTATTTGCTTCTTATGAATCAGATTATTGAGACAGAATCTATCCAGAAATAACCAGACAATTGTCAGTCAGCTCATGGGGTTGGCAATATATATTTGGAGATTAATTATATCTGCCTTTGAACCTCATTGAAGAATCCACTGCAAAGTCTGTGTTAAAGGCCCAAAGAATTCTCTGAGGAATCTTTTATTTTCTTGAAATTTCTTCTTTTGTGTTTTATTCAGCAGGGGAATTAGAAATAAACAGGAACGTGCAATTTCTGAAAAAACAAGTGCAATTGTGCTCACAAACTTCCAGAACACTGTACTCCCAAAGAGCCTTCAGTGTTTTGTAAAATTTCTAGCTGCTGTTTGAAATAAAGAATTTGTATATTTAAACTCGCCCCTGTGAAAATCAGCTCTCTTCTACTCCTGTGTGTGTGCTCTAACACAGAGTTTTCTCCTATGTATAGGAAATAGCATGATCCTAAATTAATAAACCAATTTATCTGAGATGTTTGGAAGGGGGGCAGAGGAAGGTTATCTTAAAATAGCAGAGGAGAAAAAGATGGCTTAAATACGGCTCAAGTTTCATTATCTTTAAGAACTCTACAGCTTAATATGTAAATGTCAGGAAAGTGTTACAGGCTCTGGGAGAGGCTGTTTTACATCTGTGGGTCATGGGTGCATGTGGTATTGATATTGCAGTCTCTCACTGGAGAGTTTTTAAAAATAGTTCTGACAAACCATTGGCAATGATGAGGCTGATCCTGGCTCAGAGCAGGGAAGCAGAGCACTTGATTTGCAGAAACCCTGTTTTTTACTACAGTCTGTACCTGTCAACAGGGCAACAAATGCCATCCTCCCTTTGCCTGCTCCTGCACAAAACCCCTATGTGGGGATGTTAATGCTTTACTTTGCTAACTCTCAGAACTTTTGGTTTGGCTTTTGTTCTGCTTAAAGTATTTCTTACGTACAATCTTAAAACCAATTAACCCTGACCCTAAACTGCCGAGTGTAAACACCCTCATACCCCCACCGACATACTTACATTTTGAAACGTGTTAATGCTTAGACATGTTGGCTAAAACCAAAAGCGTAACGAAACCCCGGTGAGTCGTTAGTGCTGAGTTAGGAATGAGGAATTAAATACAGGAGAGGGGAAGCTGGGGTGAGTATAGAGGAAGAGCGTGACAGGGAGGCCTGCCGAGTGCTGACAGCCCCGGGAGCATTAGGGAAACACCCAGGTCCCTCCCGCCCCGTTCCCTGCAATTCCCAGCGATGTCCGGGTTTGGTTCCGCGCTCGCCGGGGTGAGCCCCTGCCCGCCCGGCCGGGTACCCGCGATGACGATGACGCGGAGCTCCCGGCTCTTGACGTCGTGCAGCAGGTCCCGCCGCAGGCTCTGCAGCATGGGCAGCGACAGCGCGTTCCGCCGCCGCGGGTTGTTGAGGACGATGGTGCTGCAAAACCCGTGAAACACAGCGGGGTTACGGCCACCGAGCTCCCAGCGCGGCCGCGCCCCGGAGCCCCCGCGCCCCGCTCACCGCACGCCCCCCGCCTGCCGCCGCTCCGTCAGCGGCTCCGCCGGCGGGGCCCGCCCGGCCCCCGCGGCGCTGCTGAAGGCGGCCGTGAGGCGCCCCCGCAGCCGCCACAGCCGGGCCGCCATCGCTGCCGGGCCGGGCCGGGCGGGGCGGAGCTCCGCCGCACCGGGCCGGCCCCGGCCTGGGGCTGCTGTCGGGGCACGGGATGGGAAAATCCATTAGGCTGGAAAACACCGCTGAGGCCATCGAGTCCGACCTGTGACCAAACAGCCCCTTGTCAACCAGACCATGGCACCGAGTGCCACGGCCAGGTTTCCTTAAACAGCTCCAGGGACAGTGACTCCACCACCTCCCCGGGCAGCCCTAATGTTCTATGAAGAAATTCTTCCCAATGTGTGACCCAAACCTCTCCTGTCACAGCTTAAGATCATATCCTCCTGTCCTGTCGCTGGTTGCCTGGGAGAGGAGCCCGACTCCCACCTGGCTACACCCTCCTGTCAGGCAGTTTAGAGAGTGAGAAGGTCCCCCTGAACCTCCTTTCCTCCAGGCTGAGCCCCCCCAGCTCCCTCAGCTGCTCCTCTTCAGACTTGTGCTCCAGCCACCCCCTTCCCCAGCTCCATCGCCCGTCTCGGGACCTCTCCAGCACCTCAGTGCCCTTCCTGAGCTGAGGGGCCAGCACTGGGCACAGCATTCGAGCTGTGGCTCACAGTGCCCCTGGTGCTGCTGGACACATCATTCCTGGAGCAGACCATCCACTGCCGCTGGACACATCATTCCTGGAGCAG